TTCATCACTTGTTTGACTACTATTTGGTGGAGAGTCAAGGTTTCTTGAGGCCGGATACCATCGCCAATTGGATTGGTAGCCAGTATTTGGATTGGATAGAACAGTACATAGTTCCAGAGCAAAGAAAAAGATAGCTATATGTATCGTTTTCATATCAGGATTTACGCCAAAGTTTTTTTCTAAAATTCCAATTATAGAAATATATATCTGGTAGAGAAGTCTTGGAATCAATATAAAGGATATACAAGTAAATCGAATCATACGAATAAAACTAATCATAATACTAGCCTAGGATGAGTGAGCTACTGTCTAGTCTTCAATATTCTCACCGAATACTTTCTCCATTCATCAATTAGGATTTCATAGCTCATTTATAGTGTCAACCATAGCGAATTATAAAGTGAATTGATAACTTACCTGTTGATTAAGTCTGATCTATGATAAAGTATTGTAGCACTAATATATAGTAGCTGATGTAGGAAGTGAGTTTATGATTCAATGCAATAAACAAATTTATAACGCTATTTATTCAAAATAAGCATTAAAGTACATCTTTATTTATCAAGTGTGCTACAAAATCGATTAATAAAGTAATATGATTTATTCAAATACGACATATGTATACTTCAGACGACTCTTCATTATTTAATATGGAACGTATAGAAACTAATCAACATAATATTAATATAAAAATGAAAGTTTTAAGTGAAATAAATTATGCTCATATTACCTTTGATGTATTTACTCATAATAAAATTAATATATATATTATACTTATAATCTTCTTCCAGGTAAAAGTACTGTTGAAACAAATATATTGGACTATAAATCTAATAGACAATTAATAACGCAAAGCAACAGTAATAAATCAACTGTATTTGTTTTATGTGCATTAATTTGTAGAACCGATAGTTGGTAAGTTTCTCAAAAAAGAAAACTTAAAAAACTTTTATAGTGATGACTTTTCAAATTGAGATTACTATCTTATGGTTAAAATATGGATGAAGACTAATCAAATTCACACACCTACACCCTTCATAATTAAATTAAAATTAACAAGAAAAATGAGACTGAAAATATATAAACAAAAGAAAACGTCTTTTTTAAAAAATTACACCGAAGTACATAATATATCAATTAGAAAAAACATTTTCCATATCCTCGATAAGTTTTCGCAATTTCAATAACATGACCATTATTTACTATTAAAAAAGAATTGAATCGTTCTGCTAATTCTCCACCTTTAGCATGTCGAAAATAGACTATTTTATTTTGTTTTAATATTTTCATTGATTCATCTTTTCTACTCGAATGAATTTTTAATGGTGTTTGAACTTCACCAGCTCCTTCACTAACACTCAATGTCAATCCTAATGGATAAACTGGAATTGGTAATGTATCCCATCCAGATCTACCCGATGCTATATATCCACCACCAGAACATGTTATCCATTCATTATCATCGGATATTCGTACCACGGGTAAAGCAAAATAACACGATGGTACAAATGTTGAACCAAATTCTCTAATCATCAACTGATTCTGCTGATAATAATCAAATAAATGTGGTTGAAAGAATCCTGAACCAATTGTTATTTCAGTTAGAACAGAACTTTCCGAAAGAGTTGACATGAAACTACCTGTTCCACCTCCATTAAATATTTTTAAATCATATTTTAAACAAATATGACTCAATGCTTTTCGAAGTTGTTGAATTTTCAAAATCGAAAAATGTTTCATACAATAAATGAATGGATTAAGCCAAAAATTATTTGGATTTATATCACCTACACCAGCTATATGACTTTCATACAACATTAAACCTTCTAATTGAACAAACTTTAATTTTTTAATCATTTCAATTATGTCAATCAAATGAGAAATAGTTCGTACTGGACTTCGACGAGCACCAATATGAATATATCCACCTAACATTCGATATGAACCATCAAATTCTAAAATAATTGGAAATGGCCTATCGATTCCCGTCATGAATTCATTTAATTCTCCAATAAATTGAATATGATCAACTACAATGCTCACTTTTCTCTTTTGTTTATCATGTAAATTTCTTAAAATTTCATAATCTAAGATTTGTTGTGTTGGATAAGCAATGAGAAAATCATCGAAACCTAAACTTGATAAAAATTCAGCTTCTTCTACAGCATAACACATTAATCCTTTGTATGGATGACCAGTAGATAAGATACGTTGTAATAAAAATGGTACACGAATTGATTTTGATGCAATACGAATAGTTGTTTGTGAATGTACAGACATTTGATTACGAAGAAATGATATATTTTTATCAAAAGCATTTAAATCTACTAATACTGCTGGTAAATGATGAAGACTGATGTTATGATTGACTTCATCATCTTTTAATAGAAACAGTTGATTAAAGTCTTGAAAAAGTTTCAAGTTAATATTTGAAGGAGATGAAGACGCATATAATCGAGATAAAAACCATTTAAATGTAATCCAACCAATAAGAAAACTGACTGCTAAAAAGAAAAACATGATAAATAAATCATGTATCGTTTTGTCACATTCAAACACAATTTACGGAAGCATATCAAAGCTGGCAAATTGATAATAATGCATCATTAAATGTATGATGTTTAGTTTTTGCTTGTTTTTATATAGAACAACAACACCTCTTGTTTTCTTTCTTTTTACATAAGATAAGATAAAACATACGATACTGGTTAGTAAAGAACCATCTTTACTTTCAGATAAAATGCATTAAAAATGAAAGAAACTTTATGATAGTCAATTTTGAATTTGATCATTATAATGTGCACTATATCGTATTTTTTTTAATATCGTATTTCAGTTAGAATTTAACTATTAGTTCATATTCATCTGAAAGATAATATAAAGTGAGCAAGTATACTAATGCATTTTTAGCATGAGTGAAGGGTGACTCTAGTGTATAGTTTATGCGTCATATATCATAAGTGCACAGAATGTGCTATGTGAAATAATACACATGGTTCTTTTTCTTGCTATTTTGATAGGATATATAATGTATAGAAGTATTGATTATTTTTTTTCTACTGTTTGTGGAGGGTTTATATAATTTCACTTTATAAATTATAAACGATTGTTCTTTTAGGTTACGCATGTATTCAAATATATTCACTATCGTCGCAGTATTGTTACTTATTGGATCTTTTTCATGTACTCGACCCGGTAAAAGTCAAACATATTGCATCTGTAAATGCTGCACGACCGGTCCAGAATGCACGGTACCATTTGTCGCTGAAAATTTATTTGAAATACATCTTGATCAATGCAAAGAAGAATGTACAATTGATAGATGTGCAAAACATTTTCCAACTAAATGCACAAAATTATCAACCGAAGGACATACAGAAACAAGTTGTTATACAAAATGGTAAAAATATTAATAATCATTGAAAACATATGTTTTTAATCTTGCATGATTATAACAAAACAATCGAAAAATAAAAAGTGAAGTTTAATGCTATTGTGAACATATTGACTTTCAATGTATGTTGAAAAAAAGAATCTAAAAAGTAACCTCGTTTTTTTCTACTACAATACAATTCATCGAAATTTATTTCGTAAGTGTGACGCCATATATTATTGTTCACATTACAAGATTCATATATATACAGTCGGGCTCAAAAAATCCGTTCACATTCAGAATCAAGGGGTTTTCATATACCAGGAGTTTAAAACCAGCAAAATATGCTCGGGCGTTCTCGAAGTATTCAGTTAAACGAGGTGTTCACAAACGAGGAAGTTCATTATACGAGATTCCACTGTATATATATTCATCCATATGATTCATGAATTCATCTCAACGTCTTGTTGTAATCAAAATATGCCAATGATCATACATTCTAAATCCGAATGATACTATCAAAATAATTAAATATTATGAAAAATGACACTATAAAACTAACGGAGCATTTGAAACGGTAATTAAAATTATCGTATCAATTGTAAGTTTTGTTAATCATAATAATCTAATCTTTAAGAGCAGAAAAAAAGATATTGTTTATTTGGGATCAAATATAAAAGTATATGATAATTCAGTAAAAATATGGAAAGGAACAGCTAATAGGCATGATAAAATGAGAATTCTTCTAACTAAAGTATTGTTTAAAATTTGAACTACTTGCAAAACAAACAAGTAGAAAACTGAAAGTTAATTTGCTTCAAATAATTAATACAATTCTGCACTATTTAAGGCAACATTATTACGATTCCAACCACCAGTAGCTAATACTCTTCCATTTGATAATACAGATGCTGTGTGATAATATCGTTCATTAGACATGCTACTAGTAGTTGTCCAAGTACCTGTTGATAGATCATACAATTCAGCACTATTTAAAGCAGTACTACCATTTTGTCCACCAGTAACTAATACTTTTCCATTTGATAATATAGATGATGTGTGGAAATATCGTGCATTTGACATGCTACTAGTAGTTGTCCAAGTACCTGTTGATGGATCATACAATTCAGTACTATTTAAAGCACCACTAAAAGCATTTCCACCAGTTACTAATACTTTTCCATTTGATAGTAAAGATGCTGTGTGACTAGCTGGTGCATTAATCATATTACCAGTAGTTGTCCAAATGCCTGTTGATGGATCGTATAGTTCAGCACTATTTAAAAAAATATTACCATTCCATCCACCAGTAACTAATACTTTTCCATTTGATAATACAGATGCTGTGTGAGCATATCGTGCATTAGTCATGCTACCAGTAGTTGTCCAAATGCCTGTTGATGGATCATATAGTTCAGCACTACTTAAATAACTACGATTACTATTCCATCCACCAGTAGCTAATACTTTTCCATTTGATAATATAGATGCTGTGTGATAATATCGTGCATTATTCATATTACCAGTAGTTGTCCAAATACCTGTTGATGAATTATACAATTCTGCACTACTAAAAGTAATACCATTGCCTTCACCACCAGTAACTAATAGTTTTCCATTTGATAACAAAGATGCTGTGTGCCAGTATCGTGCATTATTCATGTTACCAGTAGCTGTCCAAATACTTGTAGATAAATCATACAGCTCAGCACTATTTAAAAAAGTATTCCCAGCTCGTCCACCAGTAACTAATACTTTTCCATTTGATAATACAGATGCTGTGTGAGCATATCTTGGATCACTCATATTGGCAGTAGAAAACCATCCTAGAAATTACATTTTTATATATTCAGACTACAACATTAGACCGCAATCAAACATTCAACATTTATTATTCTTGTAGACGATATTTTTCATTATTCTAAAAACAAGTCTTTCATGTCTGTTTTATATCACCTCAAACTTATGTACACGGAGAAAAATAGTCAAATGTATTGTACAAATCCTCTTCACATACTATAATGGCAGCGTCAGCTTCCTATATTTTCTATTTCCTCTGTTATCTAAATCAAATATATCAAAGATGTTTGTGTCAAATTGATCACTGTGATAATTACACTGACTTATGTGTGGGTGGTGTGGGTGTGGGTGTAGTCAAAAGAGTATTTATCATCACGCACACTCATCCACCCATCCACCCACACCCTGAAACAGAACTCATTATACATTTCGAAGAATGAGATAGATATAGATAAGAATTCCTTCTAAAAGTAGTACTCTATTTGACTGCTATTGTCACGCCTTTAAGCGAAAAACAATCACAGATAAAACTTAATTCAAAATCTTTACAAAGCTAGTTCAGATAAATTATTGGTTGATTACTTATTAGCGGCTGTACTAGATTGACTAGTTGTAGTGTCGAAATGATCTAAAAACCAAAAGGAAAAAAAACTATAAGCAAGAGTCAGTAGTACCGGTACTGCCAGGCTTCAAAATGGGTCGTCCAGCCCGGCCTATCATGGCCTGGGTCAGGTTAGAGGGTCTGACCATTCAGGCCGGGCGGTCTGGGCTTTAGTTGTGTCACCCAACTGCATATCGATATCAAGATCTACTGTATTTGTTCTCAAATTTTTTTATTACTTCAATATCTCGTTTAATAAAGTCAATTATCAGAATTTGATGATTCACATAATGTCATACCATTAATATAACTCTTTACAGTCGCAACATAACAGAATTTCTTACGAACTACTTTATATATATTGTTAAAAATTTTTCTATTCATTGTCACGCCAACCTTACTAAGACACTAGGCGGGCCGGACCGAGCCAGCAAAACGTGGTCCGATTTTGAGACCTGGATACTGCATATTTTACCTGTTGATGTGGATGCTGTTGTAGGTATTTTAGTGGTAGTGATAGGCTTTTGAGTAGTTGTGGTTGTTAATTTTTTAGTGGTGGTCGTTGTCTTTTGAGTTGTTGTTGTAACTGAATCAAAAGAAATAAGGTAGCCACAAAATAAACAGATTTTGAAAAGACAATATAATAAAATCACGCTTACTCTTTGTTGTAGATTTAGTTGTGCTTGTTGTAGTTACTATAAAAAGATAGAAATAATGTATTCAAGATCAACTAATTATTTTCGTTTTAGTCGTTTTAAGATTTACAAGACAAAATTTCTTACCTGGAGCTGTTGTGTGTAATGTTGTAGCTGTTTCGAGACGAGAAAACAAATAAAACTAATATACTTATTAGAATGTTTTTTTACTTGAAATAGTCTTTGGTGGACAAATTTGTTTGTTTGCCATAGGTAATGGATAGCATATTGGTTGACCACATCGTATACTATTCACACAGATTGTACCCCCGATTGAACAAGTTACATTATCCATATTACATCGTACAACACTTGCACAGGAGAAAAAAGTTGAAGCACATATTCCTGTATTCGAATTGGATGTTAATGAAAAACAGTCGCAGTCAAGATTCGATGAACATGATATTCCTTGAGAATTACATGC